TTGTCGTATGAATATGCACATGTTTATCTAATGTTTATTTTTAGTATACATGTCTGTTGTTTTATAGCAAATTGACCAACTGTATATTATAAAACTTGTATGAGTATGCACATGTTTATCTAATGTTTATTTTCAGTATACATTGTTGTTGTATGAAGAACCACATGTTTATCTAATGTTTAGTATACACGTCTGTTGTTTTATAGCAAATTGGCCAACTTTATATCTATGAACAATATTACATAAGATTTGGAGATAAAATTTTACATCGAACACCTACTTTTCTATTGTATGAACAATATTACATAAGATTTACTACATTGATGTTTATCAATATAACTATATGTGGCGTTTAATTAAGAGAAAACAAATGGGTATCCGTATCCCTTTAGATGGTATTGTTCTATTTAATAAAGTAAATGTCGTGTTAACGTAATTGAATGGTAAATATGTTGCGTATATGCTAAAGTAAATGTTTAACAAAGTATTTCCTAAAGGATATGTTTGTTAAATTATAAACAACAATATATATTGCGTATATATTACGTATATGTTGACACATGATATACACTTTTGTAAATTATAGTATATTAATTGTATTTGTTTACTTATTCTCGTCATTGTTATATACAGAACTGTTAAAAAAAAAAAAAAACAGATCACACATAAGCATAATAAGTTATACTGAACATAAACGGTAGATTAACAAAATATTATCACACACAAGCCATTGACGAATATATTGATTTTATTTGCCAAAGATTTGCTTTCTCATACCAAACATCAAATCACTGGCATAACTCAGATAATCAGAACTGAAATCCCCACCGTCACAGTTACGTGGCCTTAAATAGAGCCCATCTCGCCACCGTCAAAGCACACCCCATCTGAAACACCGGCCTTGGCGTACCTCCATGCGCGGAACTAAAGAAAGTACCATCGACAACAATAATAGACCTACAATGATTCCACCCTTTAATTGAAGCATTAAGACACACAGACACTTGTATCTCTGAAAGTTTCGCCGACCGCAATATCAGTATTCATGCATCCATCGACCAAAACTCCAAGTGTTATGGAGTGTTTATTTCCCATTTATCTTCCGTATACTTCACTGTTTTCAACATAGTCTGTAGTTGGTTCGGCGATTCCTCTGTAAAATCATCGTTTTCCGAATCTTCTCGAGAACACATATTCCTGAAAATAAATAATTTTTCACCCGAGGCCACATAATAAACTATCAAAATTAAAGAAAAAAAAACCACTATTGTAATATAACACCACATAAAAAACACCAACACAAAATTACCTTCTCGAGTTTGTTATCAGCGAAGATTTCTTGAAGAACAACATTTGAATCATAGGAGGTTTCATGAATAACAATTGCTTGCTTTCCAATCCCTATAGGAGCCTTTTTCTTTTGTTCAACTGTATCAATTTTTTTCCCAGTTCAAGGAGATCTCGACAGGAGCGTGCGCTGTAAATTAGTCGCCAGAATTATAAAATTATGTCTCATAATTTTGGAATGCTTATTTGGAAAATATGGGGATAATAGCGTCGGTTACGGAGGAGTGGATGACTGCAAGATTCTTGGGATGAATATGATGAACCGTATTTTTGATATTATTTGATCTATAAATCCTGATATGATGAAACTTCTTTCATACCGTAAAGATAAAATTAAGATGACTAAGAGATATAGATACGTAAATTTCCCTTCTCAATGCACAATTTGAACACCTCCAAAATAATATGGGCTTGTGAAATTTTTTCATTTTGGGCTTACATATTTAATAAGCTCAAATTTTGGCCTTTTTTTCACAATTCTTTAGGGTTTTTTTTAATGTCTTTGTTAAATTTGCATCAACACGTGAGACTCTTTTATAAAAGAAAGCAATCAGAGTGTTTTTTTCCAAGTGAAGAACTTCAATCCCTTCATAGGTAAAATACACCGCTCTTAAAATACTTTAACCTTAAAATTTTTTTAGTTAATTTTCGATAATGCTCTTATAATTTTTTTTTTCTTGTGGTGTTTGTATGTTTGATGATACATTAGCATTGTGTAATATTTATTTATTTGGTTGTGTGTAATATGTATTTGACTTGTTTTATTTTCTAGTTATGTTTGTTTATCAAATGTTTAACATGTAGTTTAGTTATTTTCTATAGTTTAATAGTGTTGATAATTTATACAAGTTTTTTTTTCCCTACCAGGTTAAGAAGTATCAAATTGCCAATTCAGGATATGATTCCGACTCCAATAATTCTTCATGTAAAGATTGCGAACTTTCGTTAACTAAAAAACTATTGGATGAGCCCACAGGAAATGCACTCTGGTTACAGAAACAAATATGGATTTAGTTCAAACATGTCTAGTTCATATCCTTTTAATAGTTTCGACGATGTTGATCAAAGAAAAAGGTCTTCATGGTGGGTCAACGAGTGATAGATGTTTTATACATCATGATAGAAAATGGTATGATGTAATTGTCAAAGACTATTTCAGTGGTGAGAATTCGAAATACACTCCTGACCAATTTCGCCGTCCTTTTCGAATGACCATTGAATTGTTTGAATGTATTTCAAAAGAAATTCAAGTTATGACAATTAGTTCACACTAAAGTTTGATGTCGTATGAAAGCTTGGATTAACTCCTTTACAAAAGTTGCTCGCATCAATAAGAATGCTTGCATATGGTTGTTCAGCAGATTCTCTCGATGAGTATATTCAGAGTGGAGAAACCACTGCGATTGAGAGCTTAAAAAGATTTTGTGATGCTATAATTGGTATCTTTGGAAAACAATATTTAAGAAAACCAAACGGAAAAGATATTGCGGGGTTGTTAGAAGAGGGAGAGAGACGTGGATTTCCAGGAATGCTTGGTAGTTTGGTTGTATGCATTGGCATTGGAAAAATTGTCCCACGGCTTGTCACGGGACACATACTAATGGTTTCAAAAAAGTTCCGGCTCTTATTTTAGAGATTGTGGCTTTACAAAATTTATGGATTTGGCATGCCTTTTTTTGGGATGGCCGGTACTAATAATGGTACAAATTAAAAAAATTTCTTGATTATGTAAGGGTTTATTATTTGGCAATTTGCTAAATCAATTCTTTTTTAATTATTATAAAAAAATAAAATTCTAAAAAACGTGTGTGTGTATTTTGTAAATATTTATACACAAAATTTTATTTTAAATTTCATTACATAAACTAAGAAGAAGAGGACTAATTTCTATGACCTTTATAAATAAAATAATGACATTATATGACAACAAATATTATAATAAAATAATAATTGAGTATTATATGATGAACAAGAATAAGTATAATTTATTTTTTATTTATATTTATGAATAAATATATATTGTAAAATCAAATTTATATTAGCATAACGTGTTAACAGAATAATATATTAATTAACATGTCAACGTTATGACTAAAATAAACATAAAAAAGAATAGAAAATTGATGATTCAACTTTATTGTTTTTTTTAGTAATAATGTACAAGCCCTACAGAACTGACTAATTTAATATACATCTCACGGATTATACATTAGTATTAAAGTAAAACAATTTGTATTTACACAAGTTGATTTGTACTAATGATATAAATTAATATATGGGTGGGCAAAGTTGGTCTCCATAAGAGCACCCACAATGCATTGAGTCTAATTTTACATATGCGGCATATAAATGGACTTAAGTCCTAAATGACATGGACAAAACCCAAGTAAAAAAATTCAAAAGTTATTCAATGCAAAAACTAAAATACTAGGTCTATCATACATGTCAACCAATAAAAATGCTCTAATATGTTTCATTTCTTAAAAGAATAATTAAATTACAAATAAATGATGAGTGTTTGAGTTTATAGAGACTTGGTCTCATTTTTTTTATTGCCACATAAGCTAGACCATGTCTACTTTTAATTGTATTTGGGAGACTTTTTTTTATAAACTAAGTATATTTCTTACATGGCATATGATTTTTTATTATTTTTTATTAAAAGACCAAAAGCATGCTCTAATAGCACCTTCTAATCTTGAATGCCCCCAAATCCCAACTCCAAGTCCCAACCCGACTTTGTAGCGGGTAGAGGGGGGCTGCTGTGACCCACTAACAGCAGCCACAGCTGTTACTTAATAGCCTTTGGATGAATTCTAATCTAACGGTCAACTAAGCTAAATTAAAAAATACACTTTCTTTTAGTTTTTCCCAGGAAAATGAATCAGGCAATGGATTTCGCTAAGCAATTCGACAAACACCACGAGAACACAGAACAAGATTACACATGAACACCAAAATCCAGCAAAAAACTGAAAACCCCAAAACAAATTCAAGATCTGACGAAACAGCCCAAGATTAGTAAGGGGTACCTTCTCACGGACGCGAGCTCGTCGCCAATGTACACACTCACTTTACAAAACAAAGAGCAATCGAAATAATTTTTTCTTACAAAAAAAACAAATATACACAATTTGTACAAAATGAACGCTATGTACTTTCCAGAATCCAAAAGCCCAACGAGTTTTCTGCCTTTTTTTTTCCTTCTCTTGAGATTATGGAGGAGAAAGGGGGTGTTGAAGAGGATGGGGAGAAAATTAATTAAGTCATTAGTTAGTTTCGTTACTGATTTAGTTATTACATGAACTGATTGATTATTGCAATGACCCAAGAAGAGATATGTTAGTTGAAAAGAGAGAAAAAATAAAAAAGTAAAAAGAATGAAACAAAATTTAAAAATGAAATAAGAAAAAAATGGAATGAAGAGAATAATTTGGGATGGTGGGGTTTTGAAGTTAAAAAAAAAGTGAATTATGGGAGTCTGTGCGGATGATGGGGTTGCATTGTTGGACTAATATAATTGTGGGTAGAAAGAGAAAAAGAAAAATGAAAAGAAAAAACTAAAAGAGAATGTATTTTTCAGTTTAGCTTTGTTGACCGTCAGATTAGAAATCATCCAAAGGCTGTTACGTAACAGCAGGGGCAGCTGTTAGTGGGTCACAGCAGCACCCCCGGACCCGTTTGTAGCTGCAGAAAGAGGGGAAAGTAATATATTTCTCCTTACTTCATATCAATTTCGAACCCTAGGATCCTGAACGACCCTTGTGTGAAATCGCTCTCAATAATTTTGAGAATTGGCAATGGGAGCTAGTCGGAAGCTACAGGGAGAGATTGATCGAGTTCTAAAGAAGGTTCAAGAGGGTGTCGATGTATTTGATAGCATTTGGAACAAGGTATCTTCTCTCGTTAACCGCTCATCAGTTCAAATTATCTCTCTACCTCTGAGCTGTATGATTCGGCTGTCTATTTCTCCAGGTTTATGATACGGACAACGCAAACCAGAAGGAAAAGTTTGAGGCGGATTTGAAGAAAGAGATAAAGAAGTTGCAGAGGTACAGAGACCAGATCAAGACGTGGATACAGTCCAGCGAGATCAAGGATAAGAAGGTATTGTCCACCAACCCAAACATTTCTGTTTAATTCATTGTTTGTTCCCTTTTGGCAACAAACATCCTCCATATTGGGTGAATGTATTGAAGACAGGCCTGCTGGATCTTGATTGGTTTTCTTTATTATTGGCTGAGAACCAATTTAATTGTTTTTTCTTTCTTTTTCAACTGACAGTCAATGATGGTAGTGTCCTGATTACAATGTGTCTCAAAGTTGACATCAAATCTGATATTTAGTGCATGATTTAGTGATGCACTTTGTTTTATCACACGCGGGCTTATTCTCAAGAACATAAATCTAATAACCTAACCTGCCTTGATTGTAAGGCCATTATTGCTCTTCTGTATAGCGGAGGCTCTTATCGGAACACATTAATTATTTAATTTAACTATCATACTACCACTTGGGTAAATTTTAGTAAAGGTTAGTTTAACTATCATTGAGGCTCTTATTGAAAAATATGGAGTGTAATTTTAGTAATCAAAAGAGTAATAATGGGGTAACTATTAAAATTGGGGAACACGAATTGAACACATCTAAAAATTTAAAATATATTCTAGAAGATAATGACAAACATATATATGGATGTAACACATAGAATTCGATTGGGTTGGAACAAGTGGAGGAGCGGGCCGTCGATACTTTATGATCGTAAAGTACAAGTGATTTTGAAAGGCAAGTTCTATCGAACGGCCATTCGACTGACGGTGCTTTATGGATCCAAGTGTTGGGCTACTATAACATGAAAATGATAAAAAAATGCGAGTGGCAGAGATGAGAACGTTGAGATGGATGTGTGGGCATACTAGGTTAGATAAGATTAGAAATGAAAGTATTAGAAATAAATTTGGGATAGCGCCCATAGAGGAGAAAATGAGAGAATCACGATTAAGATGGTTTGGCATGCGCGTAGGAGAGATTTCGAGGCACCGGTAGAAACATTAGAGTTAAGAACGCACGTTAAAAGGGGGAGGGGTAGACTGAAGAAAACTTGGAATGAGACAATAAAAAATGATTTAAAATATTTAAATTTGAATGAGGATATGTGCTTTGATCGAGCACGATGGTGACATGCGATCCATATAGCCGACCCCATTTAGTGGGATGTAATGACTTGTTGATTGATTGATTGACTACCACTGGGGTAAATTATTTTCAACTTTCTATTTCTATAATTCTCATATTTTTCTGATTCATCCCAGTTAGCATCCCATAATCTATGCGTTTATGTTAGTTGTTCATTCCTTCTGTCGCCCTACCCGGAATTGAAATTTCTTTGTACATGTTGCGCAAACTTTTCTGTATGTTTGCCACTGTACACTTTATTGATGATTACTCCTATTCCTTTTTGTTGTTGTTGTTTGTTTTTCTCCTTTTAGGTACTATCTGTATTGCAAACACCACAATGATGTCCAGTTGTCCACTGTTCTGTTCTCTCTTCTCTCCGCTCTGTGTTTTTGGATCTTGACTGTGGATTTCTTTTTATACCTGTTGACATAGGTTAGTGCCTCTTATGAGCAGGCTCTGACGGACGCTCGAAAGCAAATTGAGCGCGAAATGGAGCGCTTTAAGATATGTGAAAAAGAAACAAAGACCAAAGCATTCTCCAAAGAAGGCCTTGGCCAGCAACCTAAAACGGTGTGCATTAGATCATTGTGCTAGCTTTCAAAATAGACTTTCTTTAACTTGCCTGATCATATTCTATTGCAGTTAACTTTTATCGTAAGTGCAGTAACTTGTTACAGAAATGCTGTCAACAAGTATATTAGAATTAATAATTTTGTCTTGTGGATTATATTTGTGGTTCACTGCATGGAGTTAGCAAGAGAATGCATTCCCTATTTTTTAATGTATCTGAAGTGGGTGCTTTTGTATGTATGGTCATGTTCTCGCATTTAACATGAAATTTCTGATTTCAGCATTTCTTTAATGTTTCATCTTGATGTAGGATCCAAAGGAGAAAGCTAAATCAGAGACAAGAGATTGGTTAAATAATGTGGTATGCCCTGGAACTTTGCTAGCATCTCTTTCACTTGGGTTGAGTAATTGAATTCCGATATCTGTAGTCCTAATAATTTGATTATTCAGGAAGTGAAGCTGAAGTAAACTAAATAAGTCTCATTTGTTTTTCATTCTGTATTTTGGTTTATTTTTTGAGCTGTCTATCTCAGAGCATTTTTAAACCACACTGAAGTTTCATGTCATTTAAGATGATTTAATTGAAAGCTTAGCTATCACAGTAATTATCATGTAAATTATGATGTAACCTCTCCCCGCTACTTCTTAAATATGCTATCAATAGTTATGGAGTTGGTATGTTCATGTTGAGTAGGTTAGCGAGCTGGAAAATCAAATAGATAGCTTTGAAGCTGAAATAGAGGGACTTTCTGTTAAAAAAGGGAAGACAAGGCCTCCCAGACTGGTATGATACAAAAGAAAGGCAAGACTCTCAGTCCAGTTCAATTGACTTGCACTTGCATTATGCAAATATCATTGTTTTGCAGACGCATCTAGAGACATCCATTGCTCGGCATAAGGCTCATATTATGAAGTTAGAATTAATTCTAAGGCTGTTGGATAATGATGAATTGAGTCCAGAGCAAGTCAATGATGTGAAGGATTTCTTGGATGACTATGTGGAAAGAAATCAGGTCTTAATCAAAGCAAACTATTGTTTGCTTCTGATTACCAGACGACTAGTATCTCTGCTCTGTTGTTTTAATTGAAATGTGAAGTTCATGGGTGGTTAAAGCATGTTGTATACTTTCCTTTTGGCATCTTACATGCAGGAGGATTTTGACGAATTTAATGACGTTGATGAGCTCTACAGTTCTTTACCTCTAGACAAGGTGGAGTCACTTGAAGATCTAGTTACTATTGTCCCTCCTGGTCTTGTTAAGGTGAATTACTTGTCCCACAGATTTTTTATTAAACTAGTGCATATGATGTAAGGGACAATCATGATAAATAGATCGACAAATTAATTTTTGATATAGTATTATTTATAGATATATAGATTGTGTGCTATCTCTCTCTCTCTCTCTCTACACACACACACAGACACACACACATATATAGACATAGGGTTTCAATTTATCTTCGAGGTCTATGGGGTAATCACTGTACAGTTGTCATGATATGGGAACTCATGCACATGAATAGAGAAAAAAGTACTGATTAGACCGTTTGTAGTGATCTCTTTAGATGTACTGTCATGATGTGGGAGTTCTTATACATTCATTCTAACATGAAAAGGAAACATTGGAATAGATGTTCTACTGACTTCTTCTTTTGTTATTTATTTGTTGTGTTTTTGGCAGGGTGTCAGTGCCTCCACTGCTCTAAGTATGAAACCATCTTTAACTGCTGTACCTACCCAAGTTCCAGTATGTTCGTTTCCCAACTGGGTCATATACTCCCCATGCTCCTTGAATTTTTGTAGCTATCGTGGGAAAGAAGTTATCTTATTATATTAACCCTTTCTTTCACAAATAATTTTCTCTGAAGCACTTTGCAGAAATGGTTCTTCTGTTCCTAAATCCTTGGACTCCAGGCTAACATATTTTCGGCATAGAAGAATTTGGCCGCTTAAGTTATTTTGAAATGATACTTCTTTTGTGGATTTACTATATTGTGAGGACCTTGATTATTTAGTTGAGATGATTCGGCGAGATTCTGTGCTGGCAGTGCTTTGTGGAGAAACTTGGCTCTATTATTATAATTGGGCAAAAAGAGCCATTTAATAAAATGAAAATGCCTATTATTCTTCAGGTTATCTCAAGAAGTGGTGAAATAAAGCCTCTAGTACTAGAAATTATAAAAATAGAATTAACTACATATATGATTTTATTTTTTGCTTGACATGATCAATACGTCATTCTGTTCTTATTGGCTACTAAGTTTCCCTTTATTTTTAGATTTTTGGCTGTTCTTTGCAGACTTGTAAGTTTATGGCAATATAAACGTTGCTGTATTTGTCTTCTACCATCTGCTTGCACTCTCTTTCTCTCCATCCATACATTGAAGAGTATTATGAGTTTTACTTCATAAATATAGCACCCTGCTAGTAAACTCTGAACTGCCTAAAAATATTTTAAAATGTTTTCAAGACCCTGAAAATATATGTTGCATTCAGTTACTGCTTGCATTTTTTCTTTGACTTGTAATTATTAGAAGGCCTTTGTGATTCTTCGTGCATGGAGCTGACATGGTCACTTTCGTATTACTTGATGATGTCCTTCAGGCAGCTACATCAGCTTCCATCCAGCAAGTTACTTCCACTCACGATCATGTAGAAGAAACAACTCTCCAGGATGATGCTGTTGCAAGAACTCCGCCTCCTAAAAGTAGTCCTCTTAGTTCCTCTGCACCACAAACACCAGCAGCAGGGCACGCAACTCCTGCCATTACAAGTTGGTCAACAATGACTTTTCTGTCTCTGGCTTCCTTCCTATCTTTTATTTTGTGTTCATATTTCTGGTTTTGGAAACTCAGGTGCTGCCAGTGTTTCATCTCCGGTGGCTGTACCAGGTGCTGCAAAGGAAGAGGAAATTACTAACATCCCTGGACATAAACCGTCACCAGCTCTCGCTGAAACTGGATTAAGAGCTATTGGTAGAGGTGGCCTACCTAGTCAATCGACATCTAATGTCCCTGCAACCTCTGGAAACGTAAGTTCCAGTAATGGAGCTTTTGGTACCATGTCTTTGACTTCTGAGGTGGGGAAGAAAAATATTATGGGGCCTGATGACCGGAATAGTGGAATGGTCCCTTCTCTAGTGTCCCCTATAAGTACTAGAGTAATCCTGCCACAATCTGCCAAGGCTAGTGATGGACTTGGATTGGCTGATACGGGAAATGTTGGCGATGCTGCAACTCTGGGCAGCAGAGTTTTCACTTCTTCTGCGGTTCCGGGTATTCAATGGAGACCTGGAAGTTCATTCCAAAACCAGAACGAGACCGTATGTCAGTTGTTCATTTCTCTATTGCTCGATGAGTGAAGTTTGTGAGTGCTTTTGCATTAGTGCTGTTTGTGCTATGATAGAGTAAAGACTAAAGAGCATGAAATCATAAATTAGAAATGAAATTATAGTTTATTGAGTGATAATCTAAAATCTAGGAACCATCCTACCAACTCTTTTGAAAGTGACCTGGCCAAGTTCCAAGGACTCTGGGAAGAGTTCCCGACACATAATACTTGTCTGCCCAAGCCAAATACGGCGAATACAAAAGATATTTTTCCTCTTCTATGTTCATCCAAATCCCGTTATTTACATACCTATTAATCCTAATCATTCCCCTAAATCAGCCACAATTATGCTAAGGTCTTCCCAATCAGATATTTCTACTATGATCATGCCAATCAATTATTTCCCCATATCTTCCTGTCAATCAATTTTTCCTCTAATTATTTGGATGCAAATTATATTTATTATTGCTCTACCATGCAACTTCTATAAAATTCTTAAATTTAAAGATAATAGAAACAAAATGGCTGCCTCTTTTGCTTATGTTTGCAATTTCAAAATGGCTGCCTCTTTGGCAAATAATCTCCCCTTTGCTTCTCTTCCTGTTCATATTGCCACATTTATTTTACTATTTTCCCATTTGAAAATGAGTCGCTGTGTCCCATAGGCACAGTTCCGTGGAAGAACTGAGATTGCTCCTGATCAAAGGGAGAAGTTTCTACAACGATTTCAGCAGGTACAGCAGCAAGGCCAGACTAATCTTCTTGGTATGCCTTCTCTTGCTGCTGCTGGAGGGAAGCAGTTCTCTGCCCAGCAGCAGAACCTACTCCTACAGCAGGTGCCGTTTCCTAAATTTTTCATTGATTACTTTCTCTTTTTATGCCACAGACGATAATGCTAGTTTAACACATTTTGGTGCATCTCTGGATAAGTAGCTGTTCAGATAATGTTATATTGTAAATACTCTTATGTGGGTATCAACATAGGTCAATGGTGTAAGTTTTTGTTGTTTTGGGCTGTGGTCTGTCCAAGGGAAACTCCAGTTGCAATCTGCTTTGTATGTGCTTTGGTCATATCATACTCTCATCTTCTTAAGATCCCTCACTTCCACAATAATTAGGGGAAAAAAAGAACGATGAAACTAAAAGAGATTGTGGCTGTAATCTTGTATATCTCAGTTGCTGCTAACTACTGCAGAGTTCATTTATGTGTTGGATTTTAGAAAGAGATCAAAGGACTACGGAGAAAGGCTTTTATGTTGGATCACAAATTATCCTCTTCTCTCTTTTCTAAGGCATATCTTGTAGAAAATTACGATTACTTTTCACTTGTTTAGTAGATTGAAACTTATTACTCTTGTTATAACCACTCTCAGTTCAATGCTCAAAGCTCGTCTCTCACTCCCCAACTTGGGTTGGGGATTGGACTTCAAGCTTCAGGTCTTAACAGTGCTGCAACACCTGCTTCACTGCAACCACAGACAAGTGCAACCCACCAACCATCTAATCAGCAGCCAATCATATCGTCAACATCTAAGGATGCGGGTAATGCTGTTCAGTCACTTCTTTGAACAGTGTTCTTTCTTTGACTGACCATATACGATAGTATACTGAATCCTGGAATACACCTCAATATTAACTGTCACCGACATGAGTATGAAGATAGTTTACATAATCAGGGAAGTTTCTGTGGTACTTATGGACTACACCTTCGAGCTTTATTTAGTTTAACTGCAAATGTATAATTATCTTTCAAAATTACCAATACTGTTCACTGATGAGGTTTCCAAGGGTTCAATATAATTATAGAAACTGAATGGTTTGGTAATGATGTATCAGTAAATCCTAGTTATCTCTTAATGTAATTTTCTTGTTGTGTAACACTATCCAATGGCCAAATTTTTACACGTGCAGAAACTGGGCTCACAAAAGTTGAGGAAGGATATCAGCCTCCCATTGAAGATGCATCCTCAGATTCTGGTTCTAACATTGGGCCCGGGAAAAACCTCATGAAAGAAGATGAATTGAAAACTTCTTATCCTTTAGATACTGCGGTGTGTATAAGATCTGTATTGCGTTTCCTTGTTTTTGTTAAATCATTTTGGACAGCTAATTTAAACTTTGGAGACGTGAAACATTTACTGGATTGATTAATTTTATGGAATTTTTTTTATCTATTAAACATTGAATCCACGGTGCTTGTGCTTTTGTCCCAATCTAATCCTTAAATAAACATTGTGGACGTGGATAAGATCCACCCATTCATCCACACCTTGATATGGCACTATGGCATTGCGATATCTGTATGAATGATCATCTGACTTTTCAATCATCAATCCTGGATCATTTGGTGTTTTCATTATGAACTCATTTCATTCAGTGTTCGTAAATTTCATGAGAACTGTTTTCTGCTATGTTATTTTATTACAATTAGGCTGCTGTTGCTGATGGTACGGTTGCTGAACCTTCACAAGTGGTTCGGGAAATAGACCTATCCCCAGGACAACCTTTGCAGCCGACTTCATCTGCTGGAAGTCTTGGCGTTATTGGTCGTCGAAGTGTATCTGATCTTGGTGCTATTGGAGATAACATCAGCGCTTCAACTGCTAATTCGGGAGGATTGCACGATCAGTTGTACAATTTGCAGATGCTCGAGGGTGCTTATTATAGACTTCCTCAACCTAAAGATTCTGAAAGAGCAAAGACCTATACTCCAGTAAGAAGCTTAAATGCCTTAGATTTGTTTCTCTAACCTTATATTTCTTCACTATTTTAATACTTGCCTTGGCAATGCACAGAGGCACCCAGCAGTCACCCCCCCAAGTTATCCTCAAGTACAGGCACCTATTGTCAACAATCCTGCCTTCTGGGAGCGGTTAGGTGCAGATACTTATGGCACAGATACACTGTTCTTTTCGTTTTATTATCAACAGGTTATTTAGAAGTTTTGTTGTCTTTATTTGTATATCCTTGTTGTAGTCCAGTGTTCATCTCGTTCTTATGCTGATACACTTATCTGCAGAATACATACCAGCAATATTTGGCTGCTAAGGAATTGAAAAAGCAGTCGTGGAGATACCACAGAAAATACAACACATGGTTCCAACGGCATGAAGAGCCAAAAGTTGCCACAGATGATTTTGAACAGGGGACTTACGTGTACTTTGATTTTCACATTGCCAACGATGAACAACATGGATGGTATGGCTTCTTTGCTCCAAGCTCCATTTTCCTATACCTCCATCTTTGTGTTACACTTCTATTGATGGAACGAATATGTTTACTTCTTCTAATACGTTACCCACCTTTCTTTCTATTACGTCACTCACCTACACTATATTGGGACTGGGAATTCCTGATGGGTCATTATTTCCCCTTCACATTATTATTATTTGAATCTCTTTTGATATCTCGTTAAATTATTTTTAGAGTTTATCAGTGTGCTGATCCATTTCCATTAGGCTGTGGAAATGATCGATTTTAGGAAGATATTTATCAGTGTTTCTTTTCTTTTTAATTTTTACCTAAAATAATCAGTTAGTTGCCAGTTTGCATCACCAGCTTAACGAATGCCATCAATTAAATCGCAGGATTGATGAAATATCCACTATGATGTCTTCTGCTGTTTGCATTGATATGTGGTTTTAACTTCTTCCGAATGGTGCTATAATTTTTCTAATTTAAATGACACTAATTTCATTTTTCTTGTTGCCACCTCTGCTTTATTTATTTATTTTTTGGTTATATTTTGTTCTTTGTTATACTTGTGTTCTTATTTGCCTCCTTTGCTTCATTAATTTTTTTTTGTTCCCAGTTTTTATTTGTATTTCTTTCTGTATGTTGTTTTCAAGTTTTCCACTATTCAACCAATGGATCCTTAGAGTTGGTATATTAGTTTTTCTGACTCAACTCAAGTGAAGTATCACAAATCTTTCGACCCATCCTGTAGATTGTCTTTTTCCTTCCGCGTTGAAATAGAACCTTAATTTAGTACTTGTTATTAGGTAGTTATTAGATTAGATTTTACGAAAAAATTTTTTTTAGGCGAGAACGCTCAAAATGAGGTTCTTAATTTATGACACTGTTATTTTGTGAGAGTAGTGAGTGTATCATCGCAAGCAACCAGATAATTAATCTGTTTCTGATTTATCGACTGTTGATGCTTTCACGCAGGTGTCAGAGAATCAAGACGGAGTTCACATTTGAGTACAGTTATCTTGAAGATGATTTAATCATATGAATGCTACCTCTCGCAGTAAATCATGTCTACTTTTCTTGTAGTGTCACCCCATACTGCGTTGAGTTCAAAAATCCATCCCTAGGTGACTATTATCCTATCGTTTATGAAATAAGTTGAACAGCCATGAGTTGCAGTTGGCTTGTTGCTTTGTCTTTGACATCTTCTCTATGGCTTGAATAGTGGAAAACTTGAAAAACTAATATACCAACCCTTTGTCTCCTTTACTTCTTATTTGCCTCCTTTGTCTTTGACATCTTCTCTACTATTCAATTATAATTTAGCGACAATTCAATTTTAAGAAGTAAAAATGGAAAAATTCGTAAATAATAGATAAAAGATTTAAATAAATTAATAAAAATGACTGAAAGAATATGACTAAAATTGGTCAAATAAAACTTCTTTCACTATCGTATACTATTATTTAATGTATGTTACAATATTTAATGTTAAAAATTCAATTTTGAAACAACATAAAATTAAGGTCATGTACAACTATACAAGCAAAAAATTAAAAATGAAAAAACTCGTAAATAATAGTTAAATATGCCCAAATAAAAGATTTTTTTTTTGCTGCAATACCATCATTTGGTATAACTTTGAAAAAAAAAAAAAAAAGGCAGAAAGGGTGTGTACTATTGTACGTGCAAAAATCAAAAATGAACTTGTAAATAATGGTTAAAAAGGCACAAACATTTGTCACCGGGATAAGTTTTAGCAACAAATTTTTTGCACCAATGCACCCTATGTGGCCTAGTCGAGTCGACTAGTCAGCCTTATCAATCGCACACCAAACGCACAACTCAATAATAAAGAGTCGGAATAGTGTTCACACACAGTAGACAAGCAACGCACGCACACATGCATCAAGTAAATAACAAGGCAACAAGATTTACGGGCTCCATGCCGAACCAACACTTTATCACTATGTTGGAAATTTCGCCAAGACTTGCACACAACTCATGCGGTATCGTTTTGTTCCCTGCGTGCGTGCAACTCATGGCCTATATATAGGCTCGTAGGCAAATGCGGTTGCCGCTAGGACAAGGTAACCGTCGGTCAGTTGTGTAACTGACCCTATCCGAAGCCAACTCAACAACAATCGTTCGCTCAATGGTCCGAATGCACGGGTCTTCAAACAGCGCGTGCCACGTGTCCCTTGTAACCGTTCTGGAGTCGCTCGCTTGATCCCACTTAGCCATGCACACTCGAAGGATATCTTGTCTTAGGCCACGTGGGACGTAGTAACCAACCAGTCCACGTGCAATCCACATGCGCCTTCAAAATCCTAATCTTTCCCGCCAACAGTTTGGACGCCGTGCCAACACTCGTGCGCCCATCGAGATGCACCGTCTTGAACTCGCATAACTTCGAATCGACCTTGGTCTACCTTTTGTTCCCATGGATACGTAAGGCACTGCATGCCTTACGACTTCATTGTCAACTAGCCCAACGTGCGTGCAAAGGCGTCGTACCCGCCTCGCACCATAGCCCACATGTCTTTGCATGGCCATGCACAACTTAGAAAGACTTGACTGATCCATGCTCAGTCCACACCAACTCGGCCGTGCAACTTAGCGTCCATGCCAAGCTAGCCCGGTACCTTCCCACGTTGATGTACTCGTTCCCTTATCCCACAATGTGCACAAATGCTCGGTTTCTTGGCCCTTCGCGCACATTAGGCTTAGGGGATGCGCCAGAGTCCAGCACATACTTAGGTCCGTAACAAACTTTCCCCGCCTAAGTTCGTCGACGCCCTCGTCGACTCGGGGTTTACCATCCGTCTAGCTTCATACTCAACAATCTTATCAACAAACTGCCACAATTTGCTATTCCGAATCCAAGTAGCATCGGACTCGGACTCACCCTTCCATTGGACTAGATAGTCTGTTCGCCAATTTTTCTTACTTTGGCCAAGGGTCCGGTGATCGAGAATTTTCTCTATATCTTTCGTGAAGACTCCCTCACCGTAGGAGGAGCTCGAGAAAGACATTTCGTCTTGTCTTAAGAAAATCAGTATGATACTTCTTCAAATATGAAACATGAAACGTTGGATGTACCTTCAAACGATCAGGCAACTTAAGTCGATAGGCCACGTTCCCCACTTTTTTAACGATTTCAAAGGGACCATCATACTTAGGAATCAGCCCACGATGTACCGTCTTTGCTGAGATTTTCTTCCTAATTTTTGGTGTCAATTTTAACAACACAAGATCCCCAACCGAAAATTGTACGTCCCGTCGTCCACGGTCCGCAAACTTTTTCATTCGTCGTTGCGCCTTCTCGAGGCTATCCCGGGCATCTACCAACAGTTCGTGCTGTGCCCGTCTTGTTGCATTCTTTCTGAAGTTTAACTCAAACTGACAGAGTGCTACTTTCCTAACAAAACTAGTCAGAATTTGGGATGTTTTCCCTCACTAGACAAATAATGCTCACACGTACGCATGCACATAAAAACAGCAAAAGAGAACGATTGATGGCATTTGCATAACAACCAAAATATGATTAATTTGCTTAGATAGTCCAGAAATATCCTTTATTTAATAAATAATCTGAAAAGAATATTGTACTAGCAAGTTCATTCGGAATGAGGTGACCAATGTTTTTTCCTTTCTCATGTTCACCTCACATTTTGCCCTGGAATAGTGTGCAAGGTGGGACACAGGGGCGGAGCCACCCATGGGCTAGGGTGGGCTCCAGCCCCATGCAAGCGCCAATCCCACCGCCACGGACCAGGCTTCACTCCTCTCGCCGTTAATTCCACCGTCACGGCCTCGACTTCACTCCTTGCAGAGACGCCGCCCATCTGCCACCGCCCGACCCGATTCGCCACGGCCACTAACCTCATTGGTAAGGGTTTTCTTTCTAATTCTACTCCCCGGTTTGTACCTCTTTTATGTCTCAGTTGAACTTACTTATGAGAAATAGCAAGATTCCCTTTATCTAAATTTGCATTTTCCTTTTTCAAATACTTTTTTGTTCAGATGTAATTTAATTTTAAAATATTGGGATTTGGGGGGTTTTGTCCTTGTTAGTTTAATTTATAAAAGCTACTTAAAAAAATATAAAAGCAGTTCCACTACTTTTGACTTTTGCAATGTGGCCATTTTTGTTTCAATGTGATTCTGTGATTGTCATGTAGTTATCAAATTAAGAAAATAATGATTCTATTTATTTGATTAGGGGTGTGTTGATGTTAGTGGATTTTTGTTTTGTTCAGATTTTAGAATTTGGACTAATTTTACTTGATATGCTATTTATGTTGTTACTTGTTAGTATTAGTTTTGGTGTTCGCTTGAAGTAATTAAGAATTCTGATTGCCCTTTGAATTCTTTTTAATATTTATTTTTTATTATTAGTTTGCTTATATCATAATTGATTAATTAACTATTTTTTGTTAACTTTATAGGTTTCAATCATAATGGAGGATCAAGAAATGAATTGATTAATTAACTATTTTTTGTTAACTTTATAGGTTTCAATCATAATGGAGGATCAAGAAATGAAGAAAAGAAAGATTATCAATTCGTTTTTTAAACCAAAAGAGCATACGTCGACAATCCGAGATCGTCCTTCAACTGATGATGTTGCCTCCTCTATTGATATAAGTTCACTTGTCGTCCGGTTCATTGAAAAAAAATAAAAAATAATTAAAAAATAATATATATTTTTTTTTAAAAAAAGCGAACCTCGGCTTCGGGTTCCAGTTCGGAATCGAAACAGCCGGTTCAAAATGTATAAACTATAAAGTATTGTACATGAACCGAATTGGTCAAAACCATAGGCCAGTTCAAGACCCATGGTCAACGGGCTGGTTTGTGTCGGTTCGGCCGGAACCGACAAGTTGGGTCGGCCTATGACCATGTCTACTCGGTTCCAATAATAGCTACAATAATATGCAGCCCCGAGTCAAAAAAATTTCTGGCTACGCCCCTGGTACTGGGACACATTAAGATAACTATAGATCTACTGAATCAAGTATGTTTAGATTTGAGCTAGCGTTACTTTTCCTTACACAAGACCAACTGTAAGCAACAACTTCATATGAGGCTTCACTCAACCGTTTGTGATTCAATAATATTCTAAAACTGATTATGGGTATTATTTCGTCATTACAATCACCTGATACCATCAAGGATTGCATCCCAAGAAAAATGGGTGTGACCAAATACATGGCATGCTGATGGAAGTTTAGGATAGAAGAGCATTCTCTTTTCTGGGCATAACTCTTGCCTGCAGAGAGAATATACCAGATACTGTCAGTAAGTTATTTCCACTGTCGAAAATAACAAGTCTAAATTTTTTATCTCCCTATAAAACCTCATACGACTCACAATATCAAAGTTTGAGCTTTAGTGGTTACTAAGAAGATGCAGGTTGACCATATATTTGTTCTTTCTTTTTTTTTTTTTTTTTTTTTTTTTTNNNNTATCGTTTTTGGGTGGTTGGACGTGACATATTTGCAAGCTTATGGTAAAAATTTTCTATGTCTTGACTTGAGCGTGCACTTATACATCTAGCCTATACACTTTTGAGCGTTTGAGTGAATCTTGTGAGAAGTGTTGATTTTCATGTATTTTACCTGAGGTTGTTTTGTCATTAGTGTCGATTGACGAGGACTTAACTTTAACTTATGTTGCCTCAAATTTTTTAAAATGTAATAGTCGCTAAGTCATTCTATAAGTGAGTGTATTTTACTAATAGCATTTGATTTAAGAATAAATTTTGCAAATTGAGTACTTAAATTAGCAAAGTAGAATATAATTTATGATGATTTGTTGATACTTTTATGGAACTTAATAGGATCTTTTCACTTTTCAGCATATCTTCCATCCAGCCCTTCCGATCATCCTTTTCAGTTTCATAAGCTCCTTAAGAAGTATGCTACCCTCAAAGTCTCAAACCATGTCCACAAGGCTCGGGGGCAATCAAATGAATATATTGAGTCATTTTAATTACTGTTTTGTTTCTTCTTCTCCCTTGAGTTATTGGCCAATCACAAACTTATTTTTTATAAATAATTATACAATATTCATGTAGGTCCAAGCTCTCATTTAGGATGCATTGTATGAGCATTCACATGAAATGAAAAAGATATCTTTCAAACAATTTTATTTGCTAACCTTGGAACAAAGTGAGAGAATGAAATTATATGAGTGCATCTCCTCACAATATCTTCGACCATGTTCCAATTCTCATCATTCAAAGAATCAAAATACTGAGCAAGGGAATTCTTTGTATTTCCTAGTTCATCAGGCCATCTGCAGACATGAAAGTCCTTACAAGCCTACAGAACAATTATTGATATATTAGCAGGTCATAAAATATTATGGAGATAACTAGAATAAATAATGAAAACATATTTGGACATAAAAACATAGTTGGGCAGCAGAAGTTGTAATAATATGGTTGTATTTACAGATTCGTACCCAGGATGGCCCTCTTTGCTGCTATCTAACTTTTCCTATAATCTGACATATGTACTGCGGTGCTTCAGAAAATTGTTCACCAATTATACGACACAAGAGTGGCTGTGCTGGCTAGGGATTTTCACCCAATAGTCATGGTAACTGGCGAATCTTGAAAATCTTGAAGTTATAATCTTGAAGTTATCAAGCTTATCAGCCAGATCTTTTGAAACTTACTTTGATCTCTTCTTCTTTGTCCTTTTTTTCTCATTCAAGAGCTAACATTTTCTCTAGAGTACACAAATTCGGCTAACCGAACCGAACCGACCGAAACTGAAAATTCGATTTGGACCGAAACCGAAACCGAATATTTGGTTCGGTTTTTGGTTTACATCTTCTTAAATTTCATTTTTGGTTCGGTTTTGATAATGGTGATCCGAACAGAACTGAACCAAATCGAAAATCGATTTATACACATATTTTTTTTTTAAATTTATACATTTAAGTTAAAAGCATTAATTTGCTTCAATGATTCAATGACCTCTAAAATGGCTTGAACATTAAATTGCACTCAAGATTGGTTTCGTAGTCCAAGTCATAGTTCGGGTCCGAGATCATCCTTAGAGGACAATTGAAATTTATTGATAATATTAAACAAGGTGATAAAAAATAATTTTTTTTGGTTGGGATAAAAAATTAATTTTTTGGTTCAGTTAAAAAATTGAAATTTATAGAGAAGATTATATATTTATTGAGATTAGCCGATAACAGAACCGAACAGACTATTGGTTTTTCGGTTAAAAACGAACCGAACCGTAAATTTTGGTTCAATTTTCGGTTTTTATAATGGATAAACCAAGTTTTCGATTAACCAAGAATTCAGTCGGTAATGAAACAATATTAGTTTTATAATTATATATATTATTCACATAGATTTTTAAATATATGTTAAAATTTTTCTAAAATAATTATTTTATAAAATCACATTGTAGTCAAATCAAATTTCTGAATATAAAATTTTAAAAATGACACTTATTTTGAAATGAATATAATGTAATTTATTATCACTTACGAGCACACTTCGAGTTGCGTACTAATGAGTATTTTTAATTATAAATATTAATTAATACTTTTTACCCATAAGTAATAATTTAACAGCCAAAAAATTTTAGAAGCAAGCATTAAATCTTGAACTAAATATGCGATGCTAAATTAGTATTAAGTTTTAATATTAAACTCTAGGTAATGGGCTCAGAGGTTCACTTGTGATACAAAAGAATAAGCCCAAGATGAACTACTAACCAATAAAATATGCCCCAATGAAGCCCATCATTAATCTAGGGTTTCGCCTCATTCTCCTTTAAATGCAGCCATAACCACACACCCCTTCTCTCTTGCCTCTCGATTTCCATCTCATCACCGACGAGGCCACCGGAAAGAAGAAGCTGAAGGAGTGGACGCCTGGTTTAGCAGCCGGGGTAACAACCGCCGCCATTCGCACGGCGCTCAGCCACGTCACTAGCCTGATCAACGGCGTCACGAAGGATTACCGTTACAAGATGCATTTCGTGTACGCTCACACGCGCCGCCTGTTCATCCGATATCTACAAACAGCAATCGAGATATACAGATAGACAGAGGCTCTGTTCCACACGCTCCGCCTGTTCATCGTTTGTTGGAACTGGAAATTTTGGATACCCATTTCAGCGTCCTCTCGCAGCGGGTGCCGACGGTCCTGCCGTACGTGGAGGAGAAGTGTCACATCCGCCAGCACCTGATGCACCTCATCGAGACCTACCCCTCCCTGCGGCCCAAGACCGCCGTCTTCACCCACAACGACGGTCGCACAGTCAACCTCCTCCAGGCCACGGCACCGTCCTAGTGTTCTTCCAGGGCGTCACCTACAACATCCCCGTCATCATGTGGCTCATGGATTCTTCCCAAGAAGAGAGGGCCATTCATATGCAAGCTGAGATTGCTAGTATGGCTTCTAGGGCTACACAACATTGCTCATTAAGTTGAGTTGAGGTCTGTTTTATGTAGCCATTTTTCCTTATTTTTTTATGTTGCTGTTTTGGTGTGGTGAAATGGCTAGATAAGTATATTCTCTGTACTTGGGTTAATTTCAGCCTCGTGTATGCATTTTACAGCCTCTCTTTTGGTATTGGTAGAAAACAGGATTCCCTTCATTGAATTTGTATTGATATGACAAATACTAGAGGTCAATAAATGTTACAGATTATGTTAAGTTGATGTCAAATACATGCAAGAACCTAATGTACAATTCCATTTATCTATTAGTTTAAAATAGAATATATCTCAATGTTTCTTGTATTTGGGTTCATGAATTGACTTTTTGATTCAATCCAAATTTCCTAAGCTTCCACTCTAGAGCTAAGTCATTCCAAAATTTTCTGATATTTATGAAAATCAGATTGAAACCATTGAAAACACTACTGCAATTAGGATGATAGCGAATTCCACATTTCTTAAGAATCATTAAGGCAGGCTGGCTGGCTTCTTGATGCCTCAATTTATCTTTTAGCAATTTTTAAAAATCAAAGTTAATATGTTATTTGGCAAATTTTAGTTAAAAAGATAGTAGATCTATTATAAAGTATTTCCTTTTCTTGTAGAATATTGATGAATGTTTAATATTGATACCTTCAGTTAAGTTATGTTTGTCTGTTTTAATCGGCTCGTTGAGTAATTCTTGTAAATTATTTGACATTCAGTCTATCATGATTTCAAATCTGACGCTGTGTTATATGTTTTTGTACATATGTCCAGTCTATACGGATGAACTAATCCAAACAACTGAAATCAACTCAGCAAACCACATTTAACATAGACATGTATCGATTTTTGTAAGGACAGTAATTATTCTTGATGTAGAAACAGAGTACTATAACATATAAGTTCAAAATTAACTATATACATTTGTTAATCATACTAACTATGATATATTTTGCATGAATTGTGTCCAAGAACCATATGCTACAACCTTGCAGTCATCGCCATGCTAGAGGATGAATTAAGTGAAGGATAAAAAAATGACATAGGTGCATTAATTATTTTTTCTTTATCATTGAAAATTATGGATCTAATGGGTCAGATGCATTTCCATGTATACTTATGATTCAACTTATCCTTGTAATTTCTCGACAGGGTCAGCGGCTAGATGTGGATCTTTTATGACCATGATGGGCCCGGGCGGCTCTTGGAAGGTGTTGCAGCGTCAGAGGCTCGTTTCACTAACTGTAAGTATAGCCCTGTTATTTTACAATATATTCTTATATAAATTGCATGGTCCTTGATATAGCTTCACAAGTATTCTCTTTGTGGTGTCTTTCCTTTTGATAATGTGAATGTGGTTCATAAAGAAAATATAGTCCGGGGATGGATTGTTCACATAATCACATTGATGCTCGGAATATTAGTTGCCCATGTGGTTTGACAAGCTATTTGTACCAACCTTATCCTTTTTTTTTTTTATTAAAATATTGATCAGTATTACAATATAAAAGGTTTTAACTTCAAAATTCACTGACTTCCATGCAATTGTTGACTACCTGCAATGTGCAATCTCCTCTTAGTTATTTGGCAGCCTTCTAAGTAATTGAAGGATGCTTTGGTGTGGTTTCCTGTCATTAGATTTGAGCAAGGGGACATATATGATGGCAATTGAAATGCTCTATCTTTCTCAAATATGAATTTGAGTAGCAGTCATTTGTCGAAAATTGTTCTTAAAAAGATATTTCAATTTATTCAGGAACATCTTCTGTATTTTATGAGATTGAATATCTGCTTTATGTTTAAATTATTTTTTGACTTAATAAGTAACCAAACTCTTGGATTTATAAATAGAAAGTTTTTGAGGAATGGATTTATAAATAGAAAGATTTAAGGCAGGAGAGCTTGAGACCAACTGCCGGGTCACGGCTCGGCCCGGCCCACTGGGTCGGCGAGCCTCAAATATTGGGCTCGTAATCGGCCCGGCCCGACGGTTCGTTGAATCGCCCTTTTTTTTTAAAAAATATAATAAAAAGCAACCATGACCCGTTGGAAAACTCGGAACTGGCCTGAAATGACGGGTAAAAAATAAATAAAAACCGACCCTTAATCGATCCTTCGGGGTTCCGGGTTCCGAGTTTGGGGTTTTGGGGTTTTAAGGGTTCGGGGTTTTAGGGTTCAGGGTTTAGGGTTTAGGGTTTAGGGTTTAGGGTTTAGGGTTTAGGGTTCAGGGTTTAGGGTTTTAG